TGGCTGTGACACAGGAAATATTAACATTAGGATATAAAATATTCTAAAACTATAAAACTTAGCCGAGCCTGTCTGACACTGATGTACTCTGCAGAGGTGAACTGTGGCAAGGGGGTCCTTTAGAGTGACCGCTACCCCTGATATTCCCTGATTTTATTTAATTTTCTTGAATGTCTGACGGTGTTGACAAAAAGTGGGGACACAACTTTAAAATCGTATTAAACATGCATGTGTCATTAAAAAACAACCTTGCTTTGATAGGAGATATTATTAAGTGTTACTTTTGATAAAACAAGCTCTTTTTCATCATTAAAAAAAAATACCATTTTTATCCATTTTATTACATATGAATGATTGAACCCTTCTCTGTGGCCACACTGTTTTAGATGTAGTGAGAAGACATTAAGAAACATAGATTTGGTATAATAATGAGAAAATTAAATTGAAGGTGATAATTGTGTTAAATACATTCTATTATTAATCCCTCGTGACATCTAAAATTGAAAATATTTTTATTTTTAAACCTAATAGCAGTTACCCTTGCTGGACCTGCTTTGTACCAAGTCTCAAGAATGAATGCTAGTTTAAAAAAAAAAAAATATTCCGAGGCACAAGGATACCTTAGTCCTCATCTTTTTATGAATCAGTAAAGCATATAGTAGATAAATATTAAAATGTTTTTGACTATGTCTGAAATTTCATACAGTGTAATTTTTTTTTTTTGATTTTTATGAATAACAGGCATTTCATTTCTCCATAATTTTCTGCAGGTGCATACTCTGTGTGGAATAATCATTTTTCCACTGTAACCCATACCTTTGTTTGTTCAAGCTGTTCTTGCTTTGTTTTTTCATTAAAAGTCTCACAGAATTTGAGTTGTCAAAAAATGGAGGGGTTTATGCATCACTGTCATCGCAAGCTCCCAACCCTCCTGTCCAGGACTCTCTTCAAAGCTTTAAAGAGAAGCTACATCAGCTGTACCATCCACACTTCTCCCCTCGTCTCTGTCCCTTCCAAACCAACCATTCCACCACCACTCGTGTCTCGCCTCTTCCAGCCGTCCAACTTCCGGGAAGGTCAGGAAGGAGGAGACATGACATGCCGCAGCCAGAGACTGATGCTGCACACAGGGCTTATCCATCCCTCCAACCCTGGCTGCTTCTATTACTTACCAGTCGCTCTGAGGTCCATGGAGAAGCTGGTTCGGCTCATTGATGAAGAGATGCATGCGATCGGTGGGCAAAAAATTGACATGCCGGCATTGTGCAGTGCAGAACTCTGGAAGAAAAGTGGCCGCTGGGAGCTTATGGGGAAAGAGATGTTCAGGTTACTTGATCGGCACAATGCTGAATACTGCCTCGGACCGACTCATGAAGAAGCAGTCGCAGAGCTTTTTGCTTCCCAGACGACAATATCCTACAAGAAGCTGCCACTTCTGCTGTACCAGGTATTAAAAATGGCCTTTGCTGATGCTTATGTTAAAATTAGGGCCCAATGCTAAGGATTTTTCAGATTTAGGTTGAAATTTTTATACATAAAATGAAGAAATAGTTATTGTTTTTTGACACATGTAACTAACATGTATTCTAATATATAAGGTTATGACACCAACATTTTAGATTTCACAATTTCAGTAACACAACAAAAACTACTAGCCTAACTAATATTAAGTTAATAAATTATTAAAAACAAGTAAACAGTATTAAAATAAGAACAAATAAACAAATTACAAGCAATAGCACAAATAAATACAATAGAACCAATAAAAACATACTTGCCAAGATTGGCATTTTGACATAATTTAGTGTATATTTGTTCGTTCAAAAGCAAGAAGATGCAAAATAGTACTCAATTCGGTATTTGCATGCTGTCTGGGTAAACTTTTGTAATGACATGGCAATTGTCCAAATGGGCCAGTAGCAATTCCGTCAACTGTCCCGAGTTTCTTTAATTTCATTTTTCCTAGGCCATCAAGCAGTCCTTATTGTCAAGCCCTGACTACTGTTTTAAAGATGCTTTCGTGTAGGTCTGTTATGTATATATGTAGATAACATGGTTATACCTTGCAGGTAACCCGCAAGTTCCGTGATGAACAGAAGCCGAAGTTTGGGCTCCTACGTGGCCGGGAATTCTACATGAAAGACATGTATTCATTTGACATTAATGAAGAGGCGGCTCTTCAAACATACCACTCTGTGTGTCAATCCTATGGACGGATATTTGACCGACTGGGCTTGACGTGGGTGCAGGTACAGGCTGCCACCGGCAACATAGGAGGCACACTTTCCCATGAGTTTCAGCTGCCTGCAGACATTGGAGAAGACCAGTTACTTGTTTGTGGGAACTGTGGCTTCTCTGCCAACATTGAAACCATGGAACAAGGGCAGACTGAGTGCTCACAGTGCCAAACGGGCACACTGACTGAATCCAAAGGCATCGAAGTGGGGCACACTTTTTACCTCGGTGCAAAATATTCACAGGCGTTTAAGGCCCTGTTTGTTAATGCATCCAATGTGCCCGCAGTGGCTGAGATGGGATGTTTTGGACTTGGTGTCACTCGAATACTTGCCGCTTCTATAGAGGTGATGTCATCTGAGGATGCTATTCGCTGGCCTGGGTGTATCGCTCCTTATCAAGTGTGTGTCCTGCCACCTAAAAAGGGCAGCAAAGCAAATGAAGCCACACTAGTGGCTGAGAAACTGTCTCAAAGCTTGGGAAACAGTCTACCCAACTTGAGAGGAGAGGTGGTACTGGATGACAGGGTTCAGATGACCATTGGAAAACGACTGAAGGATGCAAAAGTTTTAGGATATCCATATGTGGTAGTGGTAGGACAGAAAGCTCTGGAGAATCTGCCCAGCTTTGAGGTGATTTGTCAGCAGAGTGGAGAGACCATGTTCCTTAGTAAAGAGGGCCTTGTGGATCTTTTAAGTAAAGCTGAAACTATCTAATCTATTAAAGTTTTTGTGTACATTTTACAGGCTACTGATGTTCAGGAGAATTCAATCATTGCTTGTGTCTGTAATAAAAGTATGAGATGTGGACATCCCTGTAATGTTATAACAAGGAAATATTGATAATAAAATGGGTTTGTTTGTAATATTTTTGTAATTTTGTTCTTGTCAATATAGAGCCACCAAGATTCACTAAGTATGATTTAATTGAGTATAATTTAAAGCATTGGTAAAATAAAAAAAACAAAACAAAGAGATGAACTCAGTAATGACGTGTTATCAGCTAGGTAAGATAAGTGCCAAATTCTTTAATGGAAAGTAGCTAAAGCCTACTTGAAAGGTAGCTTGATGTCATATGCTAATAAGCATGTTTAATACATTGTCACATCAATTTTCATTCTGCCTGCTGTCAGCCCTTTACATCTGTTTGCTTCTTTTCTACTCTCTGTGCTCATATAGTGTATTCTAATACAGTCAAATTCCCAAAAAAAGCTGTTTGCATTTACAATTGATTTATTTTAATTTTATTTTATTTTCGGTGCAAAATACAAAACTTTGCACTCACAGCGTCAACTGTCCCGAGTTTCTTTAATTTCATTTTTCCTAGGCCATCAAGCAGTCCTTATTGTCAAGCCCTGACTACTGTTTTAAAGATGCTTTCGTGTAGGTCTGTTATGTATATATGTAGATAACATGGTTATACCTTGCAGGTAACCCGCAAGTTCCGTGATGAACAGAAGCCGAAGTTTGGGCTCCTACGTGGCCGGGAATTCTACATGAAAGACATGTATTCATTTGACATTAATGAAGAGGCGGCTCTTCAAACATACCACTCTGTGTGTCAATCCTATGGACGGATATTTGACCGACTGGGCTTGACGTGGGTGCAGGTACAGGCTGCCACCGGCAACATAGGAGGCACACTTTCCCATGAGTTTCAGCTGCCTGCAGACATTGGAGAAGACCAGTTACTTGTTTGTGGGAACTGTGGCTTCTCTGCCAACATTGAAACCATGGAACAAGGGCAGACTGAGTGCTCACAGTGCCAAACGGGCACACTGACTGAATCCAAAGGCATCGAAGTGGGGCACACTTTTTACCTCGGTGCAAAATATTCACAGGCGTTTAAGGCCCTGTTTGTTAATGCATCCAATGTGCCCGCAGTGGCTGAGATGGGATGTTTTGGACTTGGTGTCACTCGAATACTTGCCGCTTCTATAGAGGTGATGTCATCTGAGGATGCTATTCGCTGGCCTGGGTGTATCGCTCCTTATCAAGTGTGTGTCCTGCCACCTAAAAAGGGCAGCAAAGCAAATGAAGCCACACTAGTGGCTGAGAAACTGTCTCAAAGCTTGGGAAACAGTCTACCCAACTTGAGAGGAGAGGTGGTACTGGATGACAGGGTTCAGATGACCATTGGAAAACGACTGAAGGATGCAAAAGTTTTAGGATATCCATATGTGGTAGTGGTAGGACAGAAAGCTCTGGAGAATCTGCCCAGCTTTGAGGTGATTTGTCAGCAGAGTGGAGAGACCATGTTCCTTAGTAAAGAGGGCCTTGTGGATCTTTTAAGTAAAGCTGAAACTATCTAATCTATTAAAGTTTTTGTGTACATTTTACAGGCTACTGATGTTCAGGAGAATTCAATCATTGCTTGTGTCTGTAATAAAAGTATGAGATGTGGACATCCCTGTAATGTTATAACAAGGAAATATTGATAATAAAATGGGTTTGTTTGTAATATTTTTGTAATTTTGTTCTTGTCAATATAGAGCCACCAAGATTCACTAAGTATGATTTAATTGAGTATAATTTAAAGCATTGGTAAAATAAAAAAAACAAAACAAAGAGATGAACTCAGTAATGACGTGTTATCAGCTAGGTAAGATAAGTGCCAAATTCTTTAATGGAAAGTAGCTAAAGCCTACTTGAAAGGTAGCTTGATGTCATATGCTAATAAGCATGTTTAATACATTGTCACATCAATTTTCATTCTGCCTGCTGTCAGCCCTTTACATCTGTTTGCTTCTTTTCTACTCTCTGTGCTCATATAGTGTATTCTAATACAGTCAAATCCCAAAAAAAGCTGTTTGCATTTACAATTGATTTATTTTAATTTTATTTTATTTTCGGTGCAAAATGCAAAACTTTGCACTCACAGAGCTTGTCCAAAAAGTCGCTAGATTATTCATTAAAAGGGTTTATACAGTCACTAAATATACAGCAACAAAATCGTTTAATTGGCATCACTGATGTGATTTAAATATGGCTGGGGTTTGTAGCGTAAAAACATACTGTACATTTCCCATTTCCTCTTCATCACAGATGATACTGATTTTCAAATCAGTATGAGCGCTTAATAAAAATGGCCAAAAGTTCTTAAATGATTCCTTTTAATAGGACATTTTACTGATATTTCCATTACCTTCTTTATTTTTGTGTGGGAAATTTTCATTTTTATCTGGGAGAGTTTTCTCATTTTAGCTCTCATAGAACAGGAATTGTGACATGTACATCTGGTGCAAAGGCCAATATGCCATGCCTTTCTAAGATTGATTTCAATTTGATTTAAATACATGCTCAATTAAATATTTGATCAACACTTTAATTTATACCTTCTTAATTACAAAGTCTTTTAATTTCCTTGAAAGACATCATTATCCTTGGTATCATTGACTTTATCATCAGACATAAAGTAGCTTTTTGTTTTATTCCAGACCAGCTGGTGGCAGTAATGCATCTCTCATGTGTGTCTGTCAAGCAGCACAGGAACAGCTGCTTGCTAAGGCCATGTGGTTCTTTGCTACAGTTTTTTCATAATTGTTATTTTGGAGTTTTTTGTTTAGCTCCTAAACATTATACATGCAGTACCCCATTAATTTACGTGGGACATATAATACAGAACAGTATATCTTGCAGGAGTTTAATAAGGTGCCCATGTTTATGAAGACAACCCCAGAAAACATAGACCCAGAAAAACACCCTGATCTCGCCTGCATTCAGTCTATTATCCATGATGATGACAGAACACCTGAAGGTGTGCAGAGCACTTTATTTCTTATATTCTCGTTGTTTTGATTGTTTCTTCATGTAAGCAACGTACCTCCCTCAAATGACAATTGAATATATTACAACTGAACCTTTTCTTTTTCTTCAGAGAAAGTCAGAGGTCTGAAGGATGAGGGGAATGAGTACTTTAAGGAAAAGAGTTATAAGAAAACTGTAGTGTCTTACACAGAAGGACTGAAAAAGAACGATAAGGATATTGAACTCAATGCGATTTTGTACACAAACCGTGCAGCTGCACATTTCCATTTAGGTACAGTCACTATTCCCCAAACACACACAGGTCTATGTTAAAGTTGCCTTGCAAATGTCTCAGAAAGAATAATTAAGTTTTTCATTTTTGATGTATGCAATTAACTATTTCCTCCAGGAAATATGCGTTCGGCTTTGAATGATGCCACAGCTGCAAAGAAACTGAAGCCAAACCACATTAAAGCCATAATCAGAGGTGAGTTGTGTCTATAGTTCTTAGAAAACAATTGTTTTTTGTACAGAAAATAAATATGCACAAACTACATATGTATATCTGTGTAATTTTTTTGTGTATGTATTTAGGTGCACAGAGCTCAATGGAGCTGCGTAATTATGCAGGAGCATTGCAATGGTGTGATGAAGGTCTCCGGCTGCTTCCCACCGACAACAAACTACAGGAGCTGAGAGCCACAGCAGATAAACAGAAGGTAGAAAGGCTTGACAGGAAGATGTTGTTTTGGGTGAACTAATCCTTTAAATCCAGAATGGGTCACCCCAAAATGAAAATTTGCTGAAAATGTATTCCCCCTCAGGCCATCCGAGATGTAGATGAGTTTGTTTCCTCATCAGAACACGTTTGGAGAAATATAGCATTACATCCACCAGTTGATCTGGTGATCTCCAGTGAATGGGTGCCGTCAGAATGAGTCCAAACGGCTGATAAAAACATCACAATAAGCCACAAGTAATCCACACCACAGTGCATCAATCTTGTGAAGTCTAAAGCTGTGTGTTTGTATAAAAAAAAAATCCATAACTAAGGAGTTTTTATTTTAAACCGTATCTTCTGGCCAACATATCAGTTCATAACCCATAATAACACTTCCTCCAGTGAAAAAGTCCATCCCCTGTTATCCTCCCACATCAAAATCCACTGACATATTTGTTTAGAACTGTTTTGTTTCGCTTGCAAACAGTGCTTCGGACAGAGAGGATGATGATGGTGATGGAGTTGCATCAAGAGCCCTGGCTGATCTGGAGCTTGAGAGAATCGGCTCGCAGGAGGCCACAGGAGCTCGTGTTTATATGGATGAGCAGGGAGTCCTTCACTGGCCAGTGCTGTTCCTCTACCCTGACCTGCCTGAGCACAGCCAGACGGACTGCATATCTGCTTTCTGCGAGAACTCCAGGTTTGTTAAAAAGTCATTATCAAAATGTGTATCCTTTATTAGGAAAGGAGGCCTAAATATTAAATTGCTTCTGAAATTTGATTTATTCTTTAAATTGAAAATCTGCATATAGATTTGATTTTTATAATCACTCATTTGTGTTGTTCAGCTTCATGGACCATTTGGCAGTTATGTTTGGTGAAGAGCTTCCCCCTGGGATTTAGAAAGAAAATATCAACCTCAAAATCTACAGGTCGGTATACAAAGAAATCTACAAAGAGACAAAAAGAACACCACTGGTGGACACCTTTTTGATCCACACCCGTCCTCTGATGCTAGAATTTAAATTAAATGTGATTCCAAGATTCCAAAAGATTTTTTTTTTTGTAACCTCAAAGTTTTTTTTTTTCCAGCTGTTTCTTGAGAATCCTGAAAAAGGAAACCTTTATCAAGTTGATCTTGAAAAGTCACTTCTTAACATTCTTCAGCACCAAAGGTATTTCAGAGGAATTTCTTCTAAGTAGTTTTATCACTGCTTGAATAGGTCTCTGATGTTTTTCTCTCTATATTGTGTTCTTTCCAGGTGCTCTGTGAAGGCAGGGACACCTAGTTTCATTGTGCTGGTATCAGGCTCTCCATTCTCTAAGCAGATTTTTATCAGAAAAAAAGGTCCAGAGATTGAAATGATGTTCTGTTTGGACCTTAAAAGACTTTAAATGCCTTGACTATAAATCACCCTCCTGCTATTAAGGACATTTCTGCTCACCCCACCCCTTGAGAAAACTCAAAAAGATTGAGGCAGAACTTTGAAGTGGATTTCTTTTGCGGCAACATCAATGATTCAACTTAAAAGCATGTACCATCTCAACCCCCAATCATTTTTGAGGGGGAAAAATTTATTTCATGTGCAATTTGAAATATAAAATGTATTGCAGATGTAAAATACAGATATAAAACATGAAAATGCTGATTATTTTTAGATATTGCAGTATTTAACTCTGCATTTTTACCATTGCTGATGTCGTTCCAAACCGGTATGACTTCATTTCTTCAGCGGAACACAAGAAAATATTAACATTTGAGACCTTTGTCTTCCATTTATATTGACAAAAAACAATGAGACATTTCTTAAAATATCTTTCATGTACCACAGAAAAAGGTGAGTCATATGGTTTTGAAATGTGATGAGGGTGAATAAATGACAACACAAGTCATTTTTAGGTGGAGTATTGCTTTAAGAAAGCTTCCTGTTATGATAAAATAAACTAGACTCAAAGATGTTATAGCCTTTCAGACAACATTAATAACCAGTGCTGGACTGATTTATTGTTTACTGTTTAATGCAGACTTCATTTACTGAGCTTTAATTCAACCACATAAAACAATCTGTGATTTAAATAAAAAATATATTCATGATGAAATTGAGTTGCCATATGGTTCCAATAAGCCGTACTTTTATGATATTTATAATGACATTTTTTATTACAAGAGATATTGGCACAATTTAAATTAGGCTTTTGTTATTGACAGCAGCATTCTAGCTTACATGAACCACACATTTGTGTAAAACTTGTCTTGTCCAGCGTGATTTGAGAATGTTGAGAGGTTCACATGGTCAATTTCACAAATTTGTTTATTTTATTAGTGACCCAGAAATAGTGCAGTATTCATTCAATGTTTTAATCAAAAGTTTTTATTTTATTTTTAAAATCCTATTTTATAAATGTAAAAAAAAAAAAAAAAGTCCCAGATTTTCAATGTGGTCTCAGGCTTGTGAACCCCATAGTACATTTCCAGGCTTAAACACTTATTTCTTGTTTAACTGGCTCTTTATGCTTTTTGGTATGTGCTAGAGGGGAAAAAAATGCCATGAAGACAACAATCCAAAACAACTTTTTGGACTTTAACACCATAGTAATACATTTAGAATTTTAGAACACATTTCCCTTGTCCATCGCTCAGCATTACCAAAAGTGAATACCTCTATTTGAAATGAGTAGCTTTATTGTTAATTCCTGTCTTAACATGCATAACTCATGGACATCACATAATTGCCCATCAGAACATTATCTGGAGTCCCTTTCCATTGTTCCACAGACTCTTTCAAACAGACATGTACCTTCCCATTGAGAACCTTTTCCCTTGTGGCTGTATGCTCTTCAGCAACTTTCTGACCACTTCCAATCTCCCCTTCCTCACCAGATCTTTTGAGAGCTCTGTCACCTCATCTGTGTGTGCTCGGCACAGAGCCTTCAACTCAGTCTGAACAACGTTTGCTCCATATCGCTCTTCCGCCTG